GCGTTGCAATGTATTTCTGTTTGCCATGTTGGTTCGAATTGTTCGAGTCTGGCTGCTTGGGCAATCGCCTTTTTGAGCTCCTCAAAAGCCATGTCTGCTTGGTCCGACCAATGCAGGGCTGTGGCTGGTTTGACCGGAATGGTCAGCCAAAGAACTTTTTCTAATTTTGCAAAATTCGTCGGGACGTGCGCCCATAGGTACGTCGCGAGCCCAAGGAATTGCTGCATTTGCCGCATAGTTTCAGGCTTTGGGAACGCTTCCACCACTTTCAGATGTTTGTTGGCTGGTTGCGTGCCGCATTTGTCAACGATATGACCAAGGAACTTAATCGACTCGGCAAGAAATCGGGATTTGGCAATATCAATAATTGAGGCCCCAGCCGCTGTTAGGGTCTCGAGTACTTCGGAGAGGTTCTTTGTGACCTGTTCAAAGTCGGTGCCGAAGACGATAACATCGTCAATGTACACCAAGCATTTTGTGTAGAGGTGCGGCCTCAGAATTGTTTCCATCGTGCTTTGGAATATCGCCGGCCCTGTTTTAAGCCCGTACGGCAGGACAGTGTATTGCATTTGGACTCTGGGTGTTGAGAATGCCGTGTTATGGCGGTCGTCATGTGCTAAGGGGATATGATGATATCCCGAATGTAAATCAAGGAAACAGAAGTACGCGTTCTGTTGCCCAAGTGCGTCCAGGATGTCCTGGATGACCGGCATCGGATAATTATCCGGCAGTAGGACTTTATTGATTTCCCTGTAGTCCTCCACAATTCTCCACCTTTTGATTGCTGGAGCATTAGGATCATTGTCCTTTATTGTCAAAAAGGCTGGGGAGTTGATATAGTGGACTGCGCTGTTTCGATTATGCCCGCTCAGGTGTAATTATCAATTATTTCATTAAGCGCCGGGGTCTTATCCTGTGAAATACGAATTCGCCGGGGGGGTTCTGGGTCTTGCCCATTTGTTGGGAGCGCTGCGACGTACTGTGGGAACAGTCCGTGCTTGCCACTCCACTGGAAGATGTTCTTCCTGTATTTAAGCAGTAATTTTGCTACTGTCGCTCGTTCTTGTTCTGAGCCATCCACAAACCAAATGCCATTGCCCGCGGGGGCTTGCGGCTGCTTGTTAGTGGGTTTGATATTCTGGAATCCCTAAAAAAAGCGCTGCCCATCAAGGGTAACGCAGAATGGGAGATCCCGGAGTACGTCAAGCCCAATGATGACGGGGTAACGCGAATGGGATAACAGAAAAAAGGACGCGCGATATATGGCTGAGCCAAGCGAAAAGTTTGTACTCACCGTATGCGTTAGATTTGTAGAGACGTGCAGAACGGCCGCCAAAATCCGTGCTTGTGTGGGATGTGGCGTAAGTCCTACCTCTGCGGTGACGTCTGTGGCCATGAACAACCGTGTAGCACCTGTGTTGATAAGCGCTCGGACGCGATGTCCATTGACTCCGATGAGGATGGTAAGGCTGTTGTCGGAAGCTGCGGGGATCAAACAGAGGACAGCTGTCACTGTCCAATCTTTGCGTTTCCCTGTTGCAGGCAGTTTGCTGCAGTATGGCCTGCAAGACCACATTGGACGCATTTAGTTGCCTGCACTGATGGCAGTTGGTTAGGCGAATTCACCTGGTTAGCTGGATTGTTGCGGCAATCTGCTGTTGAGTGCGCCACCATTTGTCCCGGGTGGTATGCGCAGTTTTGCAAAGCACGTGCTGGCTCTGTCGATGGAGTGGAGCTCCTTGATCCGGACTTTGAACAATCCTCGGTTGTCTGGAATACGTACTTCTGGTGGTGATCGCAGTAGTACTTTGGTATTCCGGCAGCGGTCATCTTTGGCGGTCTCGCCTGGCCGGGTGCCGGAGAAGCCGCCGTCACTGTTGTTGGCAACGCCTGGTGCATTTGGCAGTACTCATCCGCGTGCGCAAGACAATCGTCCCACGTAATTGCCCTGTCCGCTGTGGCTTTAGCATGGAGCAGAGCGTGCATGCCGCCCGTGGTAATCGATAGCAGTTGGCCGATCAGCCCTGCTGTGATTGTGCATTCTTGGTTCGGAATTTTGTCTGGCTTAAAGGCGAGGTACCTTATATATTCCTCTTGCAAGCGCTGGTCGAACTTGGCATATGATTTGTCTGGCGTTGGGCGCATCTTTTGGAACCTCTGAAAATGCTCAAACGGTGAGAGGCCAAAACGTACCTTGAGTCATTCAACGACTTGGTTGTACTGTAGATATCCTTGTTCGTACAGTATCTGCACCGCCTCCGCTACTTTTGGCTGCAAATGTGCAATGAGGCAATCGATTCTCGCGTGATTTGGCATGGCTTTGTGCCGGAAAGCAATCGCTAAGCGGCATAGGTACCCTTCAATGTCCTCGTTCGGGGACTGCTTTGGGTAGTCCACTTGTCAGCAAAGAAGTGATGCCGTGATATCGGCTGCCATTGGACCCAAGATTGAGTCCGTTGGCGTGCTCATAACCACATGCAGTGGTGTGATACTGCGATTGTGGAGCGTGGTCACTAAGTCATTGCGGTTTTCTTCGGTTGCCCCTGATATGTTGTATACCGTGCAATACGCTCGTATTGCGGGGAGATTCAGGCTTGCCAATGGATTCATGAGTGCCTGCTGTGGGTTAGCTGGGGCGATTGCCTGTCCAGAGCCCAATGCGCCGTCCGGCAAGTCGGGGTTTTTGGTGCCGGTGCCTCATTGGTTCACCATCCGTACGGCTGAGCCCCCAGTCAGATTTGACTCGATTGCACCTCGCGAGAGTTTGGGATAAAACAATCTAGAGACACAGATCAGGAAATGATCACAACAGTTTTAATAATACCCAGGGTAGCGATACCAACACAATAATATACAAAGGTCTGTACACTTTGACAGTCAGGCACTGAGTGGCGGCTGGGGCTGAGCAAGACCCCTTACTCAACGGTAACTCAAGATGGCCGCCGGAAGCGCGCGGGCTTGGCTGGCCGAGGCCCTGTGATTGGCCTGATTTGAACAACATAAAAAACACATCAAAGTCGCGAACCTTGTCGCGCGGGACACAATGGCTGTCGGCGGCCGTTACTGTATTGCAATTAATCGTGCGAATTCTGAACGCGACTTCATCATCATTTATTTTACAGGCATGAACATGGTCGTAAGAAATCCAGTTGTGCATTTCTAAGTCTAGGGAGAAAACCGCTTACTTTCGCCAAGAATTTCAAACTTCACAAAACTCTGGTTGAGAATAGCATCGTAAGTAATTAATTTTGTTGATAGGTGTAGCGATGCGAAAATAATTCTGATTTTATCCCCCTCAAAGAATGCATTATGTGAATTCAACATCAACAAAGTGACGGAAAGTTTGTCGGCTATTGGTGTCAGTGGAAAACGGGCAGGCTGGCCGCGAAGAGGACGAAAGAAAACTTGACTTTAAGGTCCAGTGTCCCTCTTCTGTGTATTGCTGGCTTTTTTTTTAACTTGCCTTAAGCTGTGAATGATTTTATATTTCTCACACATTTTAAATAATTCATGAGATGTGCTATATTATTTTTGTCTGATTGATTTTACCATTGAGAGTTTCAAACTGTCGATTGAACCTTTTTTCCCTGAAATTTTTAGGGTCTAGTGTACTTTAGCGATGCCAGTGAAACGCACTGTGCGCGTCGAAGCGCGCGGCCATTAATTTTACTGTGCTGCCCTCTATGTACCCTTGCAAAGAGTGGCACATGACGCAGCTCAGTAAAAACAACGCGGCGTCATTTTTACTGAGCCGCGTCGTTTTTAATTTTGCCAGTATGCTCCTTACCTAAGTCAGACATTCTTGGACTCAAGAATGTCTGCAAGAGTCTTTTGGACTTGAGTCACAATGAAAATTTTTTAAAAATCCTATCCCTCCTATCAAGTAGGATGCGCACCCCATTTTAGCAACTCAAAAACAATAATGACCATAAAGAACTGATCTTTAAACTGCTATTATTTGCCTGCACCCAACAGGAGGAAAAACAAATTTAAAAAAATATATATAACAAATTCCTTAGAATTCATTGGCAACAAAATTGAAGAAATTGATCCGACATTTTTTCTTCATTTTGATGTATTTTCAAGCCTATAGCAAAATAGAATTTGACATTTTTTCTTCATTTTGATGTATTTTCAAGCCTAGCAGAATAGAATTTTCATTTTGCTAGGCTTGAAAATACTGATTGTTATCAGTATTTTATAATAACTGATTGTTATTAAAAACGACGCGGCTCAGTAAAAACAACCCGCGTCGTTTTTACTGAGCCGCGTCATGTGCCACTCTTTGCAAGGGTACATAGATGGCAGCACAGTAAAATTAATGGCCGCGCGCTTCGACGCGCACAGTGCGTTTCACAGCCGCGTCGTATATTGTGTTTTGAGCCGCATTGTATATTGTTACTTTATTGTTAAAATTTGTGGAAGTAATGTGAAAACTTGTGGAAAACTTGTTGTTATGCGTTAATGTACTAATTTATTTTAATTCTCTTCTCTGCGGATCAGATGGCATTGTCATCAACAGACAAAATGAACAAGGTTCCTGCGGGCTTAAAAATAAAATATTCAAGTTTGAACACCATCATTTTTAATTTCTTCCCAGACACACTGACACACAAAGAAAGGATGTCGCCCTTGCCGCTTAGTTCCTGGTGATGTAGCATTTGAAGTCACTCTTTTGTCTTTGCCAGGGTTGTTGTCCACCTTGGTTCTGAAGCTGTAAGAAAGCAAAGTACACATAGAGGGCAGCACGGGTTGAACAATGGACGCGCGCATGAACATGCACAGTGCGTTTAACTGGCATCGCTAAAGTACACTAGACCTGATGATTTAATGAACGAGTCCGCCCATGAGCTTGAAACCCTGGTTGTCTTGGAGTTTGACCCGCGTACTCCTGAAGAAACCCTGCGGTGGCTATACGGGAAACTTACTGGAGATGCCGAGTCTGGTGGATCGGAACTGATCGTGAAAGCTCATCAAGCAGTGGTAATCTTTTCCGAACAATTATTACTAGAATACTGTATGGTGTGACGCTGTGACAATTCTAAATCGTGTGCCATGTCGTCTGGCACTCCGCGAAATTACGTGCAGATGCTGCTTTTCAAGGACCGATTGAAAACGTTTGATGGTGTGCCATGGCCGAAAGAGCACCCTTCACCACAGAAGGTAGTGTATCTAAAATTTTCAATGGATTGTGAGAATAGCTTATGATTTTCAATTGATTAGATGGCGGAGGCCGGCTTTTTCTTCATCGGTAACAAAGATGCTCCGGATATGGTGAAATGTCCATTTTGTCTGAAAGAGATGGATTGCTGGGAGAGCGAAGATGATCCATGGTATTTTCAATTGATTAGATGGCGGAGGCCGGCTTTTTCTTCATCGGTAACAAAGATGCTCCGGATATGGTGAAATGTCCATTTTGTCTGAAAGAGATGGATTGCTGGGAGAGCGAAGATGATCCATGGTATTGCAATTAATCGTGCGAATTCTGAACGCGACTTCATCATCATTTATTTTACAGGCATGAACATGGTCGTAAGAAATCCAGTTGTGCATTTCTAAGTCTAGGGAGAAAACCGCTTACTTTCGCCGAGAATTTCAAACTTCACGAAACTCTGGTTGAGAATAGCATCGTAAGTAATTAATTTTGTTGATAGGTGTAGCGATGCGAAAATAATTCTGATTTTATCCCCCTCAAAGAATGCATTATGTGAATTCAACATCAACAAAGTGACGGAAAGTTTGTCGGCTATTGGTGTCGGTGGAAAACGGGCAGGCCGGCCGCGAAGAGGACGAAAGAAAACTTGAATTAAAGTGCAGTGTCCCTCTTCTGTGTATTGCTGGCTTTTTTTTTAACTTGCCTTAAGCTGTGAATGATTTTATATTTCTCACACATTTGAAATAATTCATGAGATGTGCTATATTATTTTTGTCTGATTGATTTTACCATTGAGAGTTTCGAACTGTCGATTGAACCTTTTTTCCCTGAAATTTTTATAGTTATAATGGCAGGTCATGAAATCGATCTTGAGACATCTGCGCTGGAAGAATTCGTGCGTTGTAATGATTTAATGAACGAGTCCGCCGATGAGCTTGAAACCCTGGTTGTCTTGGAGTTTGACCCGCGTACTCCTGAAGAAACCCTGCGGTGGCTATACGGGAAACTTACTGGAGATGCCGAGTCTGGTGGATCGGAACTGATCGTGAAAGCTCATATTGAAGAGCATGCGTTATCCTTCCATGTCACCGCCAGTACGCTGCGTTTGCTAGAAATTGCTGAAGGAGTTTCAATGCGTCGGCGTGCGTTAGATGGAAAAGTGCGTGTGTTTTCTATGGCAGAAGGACATTACTTCGTGGGCAAAGAGTCTCGACCTCGGGACTTATTCACCACTGCGGAGCTGCAGCGATTTGTATCGATCGCTATGGATGACCTGCGCATAACGCTTCCCGATACTCAGCTTGGAATGAAAACATTTCCTGGACTATCAATACCCGTGTCAGAAGGAACGCCGATCGGTGAGTCTATCATTTTGTAGCATGCATTCTTCGGACGTTAATTATTTTCTCACAATCCTATTTCCTACAGTACAAACACTAAGAACCACTGGCTTTATTAAGCAGGTGCTTTTTCTTCACGAGCCCGAAAAAGTCAAAAAGTTATTTAAACTCTGCTCAAAACCAAGTTGGTCGTGGAAAGATGGTGAGAGATCATTTCTAAAATCATGGAGCGCTTTGAATGAACGCTCTCTTCTTTGACAGACGATGTTCGCGAATATTTTGGAGAATCGCTCGGTCTGTACTTCTCGTTCTTCCATTTCTACTTGAAAAGCTTGATTTTTCCCGCGGTGGCTGGACCAATGCTGTTCTTTCTGTGCAACATTTTTGGAATTCCTGCTGGTTACGCTGTCGTGATTTCCTGCGTAACGAACTTACTTTGGATAACTGTCTTTTTTGAGGTTTGTTGATCTTTCACTTTTTCTTATGAAAGTAATTAGGTGATTTTAGAGCTGAATTTTATTTCAAGGTCATTTTCCAAAGGATTGGTTGAAAATTTTTAAAGTACTGAAGCTTGGGAAAGTCGAGGTACTGTATTGTAATTTTCTTTTAACTGAGGAAGAATGCTTTTACTCGCGTGACCTTGATTAGTAATCCTCACTTGATGCTACACGAGGATCTCTCCGCTGATATCAATTCACTTTCATAATCTTCCTTCAAAACGTCTTTAAATTGACCTTCTTTGCCAAGTTCTGCGATTGTCGAACAGTTGAAATCATCTAATACATTGTGAGAGCAACACGAAAACTTTAAAGAAATTATTTCTTAATTTTGTAGAAGATTATCTTCAGTGTAGCTTGAGCAACTCCTTCGCTATTTATTTCATGTTCAAATTATTTATCTGGGGTTCATCTCTGAATACATTTCTGCACTTGTGGAAGAATTGACAGCACTCAAACGATGATGCATTCAACGTGCAAATGTGGTGTGTAAATTTCAGTTCTCAGCATGAATGGGATGCAATTTCAACTCGTCGAGTATATTGCAGTACGGTTGGACAAAAATGTAGGTATGACAGGTTTTAAAATATAGGAAGAATCTATTTTTACTCATGTAAATTACAGTACTTCCATTTTAAGCATTTAGTGACGGCAGGAAGTGCAAGCGTTGCAAAAATTTTAAAGCAACCCGCAATATGTAACTGATGTCGTGTTCCAGTTATGGAAACGGAAAAATGCTTCATTGACCTACGATTGGGGAACCCACGACATTCATTCCTACCATGAACCGCTAAGGCCAGGCTTTCACGGAGAAATGATCCGGTTGAAGAACGGAAAACTGGAATTGAGATACCCGCGGTGGAAAACCATGTGCAAAGAATACCTCGTTTCTTATCCAGTAATGGGAATATTGGCAGCCGTTTATCTGGGACTCATTTATATCGAAACTTTGGCGAATGAGTTCGTTTATGCTGTTCAATTTGATGAAGATCCTGGTTATGGAAGATACTTGGTGTATTTTCCATCGATTGCTTACGGCGTTATTATTTATCTGCTGTCGCAGCCGACGAGGCAGTTCGCAGCGTTTCTGACCAGTTGGGGTGAGTTAAATCCTGCGCTTTATTCGATCAAGCAAAATAGCCATTCATTCGTTTTATTTTAGAAAATCACGCTACGCAAAATGCCTGGGACATGCATTTGATGATCAAGCTAGCCGTTGTTGAATTCGTGAACTTGTTTGCTTCCTTGTTCTACATCGGATTTTACTTGCAAAATTGGGACTCTCTAAGAATGGTGAGGCTTTATTCCTGTTCATGGGACTTTTTTCTATCTCGAGAAATGGTTTTTCGGACGGAAGTCAATTTTGGGCGAATATTTTTTGTTTTATCGTGCTGAAATTCGTGCTTCGGGATAATATTTCTTCTTGTGCTTCATGACTGAAATTTGTCGTAATTTATCAAGATTAACATTTACTGCACTTGAACGTTATGATGATCTTAGCCAGCTAGTTTGCCATTCCATTATGTCGAAGTATTATTTGAACTTCGAAGCAACCCATTTCGTTGTACCGTATAATCAGAAGTAAAGCAAATGTTCTTTAGAAGAATCTTCGACAGGTTGGAAAAAAATGAAACAGAAGCTTGGAAACCTTTTACAGTGCTGTATTTCATCAAGGTCAAATTCGATAGTTCCTTGAAAGGATTAGGAGCGTTTAAATATCATTATGAATGATATTCTTTGAAATGTAGAATTTTTCTGAATTTTCTTCTAAGATCTGTCGTGAGGTCTAAAAGCATTTGTTGAAAAGAATACCAGTTTTTTGTGGAAAGCATGAATATTTGCTTGAACCACTGTGCCGAAAGTCTTTTGATTCTGTGTTTCAAAGTGCCTTCCTTTTTTCCCAGCAATTGGCGATGTTGTTGCTGGTTCATGCGTTTTTGGAAAATATCTCGGAGCATGTCATCCCCTATCTGAATCAAAAATCTGCGGTCAAGGTTAGCTAAGAAAAAGGTTAATTGGATTATCGCAATAGTGAAACAAGCTATCGTCCCACAGGAAATTCAAAGTTCTTTATCAGACTTTGTCAAAGAGAAAACCGGATACGACATACTTCACAATGAAAGTTGCGAAGGAAAGATGAAATTACCTTCGTACATTCCCAGAATGGATCCGAATGCATGGGAAGTACGCCAGGCGCGAGAAGATTCTGGAAAGCCACCGTACGAGAGCAAATATGATAATTATTCAGAAATTTGGGCTCAGTTCGGCTATGCGTTCATGTTTTCTGCTGTACTTCCGTGGACGGGGATGTTCTGCATTGTTGCAAATTGCTTTGAGATTGTTTGCTGATCTTTTCAAGCTTTGCTTTATTGCCCAACGACCCATGTCACTGCGTGCCAAAAATATTGGGGCTTGGAAGGTAAGAATTCGTATTTTCACTGTGTATTCATGTTGAATTGATATTGTATTTTCTGATATAAACGTTTCTCGAATTTAAAAAAAATCGATATTAAATGTTCTAAGGATGCCTTTGTTGGCCTCGGAGTTGCAGCAGTGTCAACAAACTGTGCTTTGATGGCTCTTTCGCCGGAAGTTCAAGCCTTAACGTCGTTGTCGAACAAGGCGACCGCGTGGCCATATATTTTCATCTTCTTGGAGCATTGCGTTTTCTTGTGTAGAAACGTGATCGCCATGGTAATCCCAAATGTTCCTGATCATGTTCGAAAAGCGCTCGCTGAGGTTGAGCAAACAGCTACTGAACAGCGTCTTTTGAAGGTACAGTCCGAGCGGTTTAATACATTGATGTGTTTAAAAAAAAAATTGTTCATGTTTAACAGTACAGTACTTCTGAATGAAATTCGCTGTGCATACAAGTTTTTGATTCTCGTTTTTAGAAGCACATTTGTAGGAATTGTATGCAGGAACATTGCATACGAGCGTCTGCCCATTTGCTAATATTTTTTTGTCGCCTGCCGTCCTGAAATGCAAACTTTTTTTAATTGAAAATTTGCGATTTACGTCGGTGTCTCATTTTAGCACCCTATACACAAAAATTGTACATATCTGAACCTTATTTATTTCCGCATGGTTATCGGGTTTGAAAATTCGACATAAAATGTTTCAGTGAAAATTCGGTAGCAAGTAGATTTACTTCCAATTCATATAATCGACTGAATCAACTCAACGTCACCATTCGTGGTATATTTTCAACCCCCAGTCTTTTCTCGAATTCATCGAATTCAACGGTTGGAAAAATGCTAATAAATTGCTTAATATTATTTTATAAAAATTATGTCCATTTCCATTCATCGAACGAGATTGCGAAAAGGGGAGTACAAGACTAATGATATACCAAACCTTGTATTTCTTAGCAGTTGTAATTTTATCTCTCTTTTTTGCATTTGATTACAGTTGAGAAAAATTCTGCGAGAATTTCGCAAGAAGAAAGGACCCGAAAAGCGAGAATCTCCTGAGAAATATTTCGAGGAGTCTACGGAAAGCGGTGGTCTGAAGCATCGCGCCACAGCAGTTTCCCCGCCCGAATAAATGAAATCTTCCGGTGCCTTAACTAAATATGGTTGCCTTTGTATGCTTATGTGATGAGATTGTTTTGAGATTTGCTAGACGTGAGACCTAAGAGGCATTTGTTAATTACTGATTCTCCGGGAAAAGGAAAAACCTATCCATTCGAAAACTTCGTCTTTATTCTTGTTGGTGCATTTTTGTCGCGAAAGTGAAGAATCATGCAATCATTTATTCAGCCCAGGTGTCCTTAAGTGTTCGTGAACATGAGTAGTGTAGCTGCCGGGAGCGGAAATGAGAAAAAGAAGGTTACCAAAAACACCGATGACGGATCTTCCGCCGGCGGATCGAGCGGCGAATTCCCGGTCCAGGTGAAGTTACATTTTTGGTTGTTATGAAAACAGTGGAATCTCCGTTATCCCGGCCAATGAAAGAATGTTCTCTTATGTAAAATAAAAAAAAAAAGAGAGACAATTAATTACTGTTCTGCAAAAGCGTTACTCTTATATGTTTTGAAATAAGCAGCATCCTTCTTAATCCTGAAGAGTAGCGCTGCATATGCTCCAGACGCAGTCGTTGGCTTTCATAGACAAGTTGGGAATTTTTATTGAGCACCCATACATTTATAAAAATGTGAAATAATTTTTGGAATTTGGAAACATCTGAAATTTTTTTCGAAAGGCACCGATGACCGAGGTCTCACTGTTTTCATCGACTAGACTAGGGCATTTCTACCAATGGTTTCGTCATAGGGAAGAACTGGGCTCTTAAGTGAGTGGTACGTATGTTTAAGCGTGGAGTGGGAAGTAAATGTACATTGAATTAAGAAGAAGGTTGATGCATTTATTCTGCGAAGTTAGCCGAATGTGACGTGTGGGTCAATTGAATATGTGATCTTGATCTAAGTTGAAGTCATTGGTGCGAACATTCGATTTTGAAAATAATGTTTTCATGCCTGAAAAGAAGCCCTGATCTGATCAGCCTCGATGCGGCATTGATTTCAATTATTTCATAATTTTATGTTTTCAGCGATTGATCTCTCAGCATTTTTCTAATTTTGATGAATTCATCCTGCTTGTGTTTAGGTGAAACTAGAAGTTACAGAAGAAGCGAGTGAACCGTTGCAAGAGCGAGGCACGCCGTTTTTCAATTTCTCCGACGTGTCGATGGTCTCCGGTTTCATGCAGAATTATCCCGGCCTCAGCGATTACGTGCTCACTAATGCTCAGTATCACGCCACGCAACATCACGGACCAGGGCAACATCACGGACCAGGGCGACATCACGGACCAGGGCGACATCACGGACCAGGGCGAAAGAAGAAACCGCCGAACGTACCCCTACCCATGATTCCCGGGTCATATAGAACAGGCCCNCATGCCTGAAAAGAAGCCCTGATCTGATCAGTCTCGATGCGGCATTGATTTCAATTATTTCATAATTTTATGTTTTCAGCAATTGATCTCTCAGCATTTTTCTAATTTTGATGAATTCATCCTGCTTGTGTTTAGGTGAAACTGGAAGTTACAGAAGAAGCGAGTGAACCGTTGCAAGAGCGAGGCACGCCGTTTTTCAATTTCTCCGACGTGTCGATGGTCTCCGGTTTCATGCAGAATTATCCCGGCCTCAGCGATTACGTGCTCACTAATGCTCAGTATCACGCCACGCAACATCACGGACCAGGGCGAAAGAAGAAACCGCCGAACGTACCCCTACCCATGATTCCCGGGTCATATAGAACAGGCCCAAAGCACAGAAAGGATTTCCCTTGCGAACGATGCAACCAGGTATTCGAGAAGCGAGAAGAACTACGGATCCATGTCATGATGCATGCTGGTGAGAGTTTTATCGCCTTTTAGTTTAAATTTAAATTTCTTTTTTTTTCTAAGTCATGAGTTTAAGTAGACCCTCTCTCAACGATTTTCTCTGTACAGTATAACGATTTTTTGTCCCTTGGATGGTCTACAACTATGCTATGGACTTACAGAGGTTCCGTACGAAGAATGTTTTTCTGGTCCTATGAGTTTCGTTGTAAAGAGAGAGAGTGCACCTTTGAAATACTGGCGAGTCGCTGTGGGAATGATGCTTTGGCTGAGGCAAAACAAATAATAGGCAAATTTTTTTCTGTTTAATGGTGCGTCCGTTGACGTACTTGCTCTTTTCGGATGATAAATTCATTCTCAGAAGGTCCATTTACAAAGTCAAGTACTGTACAGTATAGCTAAATGAAGAGGCTAAATTGTTCCAGACCCCTGGGAGTACTGTACATCAATCGAGTGATAGCCTTCGTCAGAATCAATTTTTTGTTTTTTTAAGGAATTATTTTACGAAATGAATATCGAGCATTTCACGTAAACTGAAAACAATATCCTGGTAAACAGTTTTTAACGGTTTTATTTGTAGATAAGAAAATTTCGTTTGAGGAAGGCATTGTAATTGAAAGGCAATACGATCCCATTTAATTGTACGGTCTATTTTTTCTCGCGAAACAATTTATCGCGGAGTTTTTCGGTGTGAAGGAAACACTGTACTGTATGTGCAATTTATCTTGTGAAGTACAACGTGATGCAATTTCCAAGGCTCAAATTAACGTAGAATTGGTCCAATTTCGAGGGAAACACGATGCCCCGTTTTCTAAATGCACGTGACTGATGCATATGCATGATAATGAAGTTTCCGGAAATGTATGAATAGCGTGTCCGTCAGTTTAAATGTAATAAATTGTCTGCAATTTGGTCAGGCGAGAAGCCGTTCGAGTGTCGAGTGTGCAAAAAGACATTCGCCAGGAAAGCGAATCTCATGGAGCATGAAATTTCTCACTCCGGAGTAAGACCTTACATTTGCAATCTCTGCGCAAAGTCCTTCTCGAGCTGCACGGATCTCATGAATCATAGACTGCTGCATTCCGGGCTTAAGCCGCACGTTTGCAACATGTGTGGCCAGGGATTCACGGAAATGGCCCATCTCCGAGCGCATAAAGAAATTATGCACGGAACTCCGCATTATAGGTTAGCGAATACTGTGTACGGTTCCTTGAAAATAACCAAAATGTACTTGAATGGGGATTTTCTTCGAACATTTTCTTGTATGCGTACAGTACTGTTGTTGCAATTATAAATTTGTTGGTTTTTAAAATCTGCTCTGACGTTTGCGTGTACTTTATAAATGTTTACTGTATCGTACTATTGTTGGACTTGCTAACTCAAAACCGACCTATTTAGAATTTTTCCGAGTCCCTGTCTGGATTCTCTTGAGAAAAATGAAATTTAGACCTCTTTAAATCGAAAAATTTCCCCGCAAACCTCAAAACCGCAAATTTCTCGAGGTCTTTGGGCTATTATTCCGGGGACCCAGCTAAGAAAATGCCAATAAAAAATGTAACTATTCTTTCGGAAAGTAATTGAGGGACAAATTGGGCAAATGACCCATTGCGTCCAAGTTCAGTATCATGTGAGCTGCTCTACCCAGCAGTTAAAGGTCCAGAAGTTAATAAATTTACCTTTTTGTAATTTTGTTTTTCTTGGAAAAAAAGAGCGCCTCTCTTGACATGAAAACCCCCGAAGTAAAATTTTTTACGCGGGTCCCTCTGAATTTGATTTGAAGACGTTTGAATGTATATCGTCGGATGTGCAAGGATTTCCCCGCTTCCGCATAGCTTTGCATCTCAATTTTTCTCATAGTTTGGTCTGACTTTTTTTTTTTTTACGCTACAGTAATACGTGAGGGAATTCATTTATTTTTAAACCCTATTATTTGTGGGGACTCCTTAAAATATTCGCTTATTATTGTGTAGGTGCTCTTGTGGTATGGGCTTCTCTCACATAGCAGAATTGATCAAGCACAAGAAAGACCACCCGCAAGAGGGAGAATATCCATGCCAGTATTGCGGAAAGACATTCAGCGAACAAGCCGCTCTGATCGTGCATAAACGGGTGCACATGGAAGATAAGGGCTTCGTGTGTAACTCGTGCGGAGAAAAATTTGAAAAGGCCGGGCCATTAATTCAGCACAGGAAGAAGGTGTGTCGGGAGAAAGCGGCGAATGCTGCCATTGCTCAGCTACAAAATGCGGCTAATTCCCTGAGTCCCCCGCCTGCGGTTTTGGTTGCCACCAATTCCGCTGGACCTTCTCATCAACAGCAGGTCAGTTGGAGGGTACAGCACTATATTTTTTTCGTAATTTTAAAAGTTTAGTGTAATTATTTTCCATAACTCGCGAAAAACCTGTCATGAAAACTAAAGAAAAAGTTCGATGATTCTATTCATAATATTCACGATACCCGTGAGGTTTTTCTTTTTTTACAGTATAGTAGAAAATGTAGAGGGTACGCGCGAATAAAAAATAAAACGCGCATGTCTTTGAAAAAATCGCTCTAATTCCTCGAGATGATGATTGAATTTGGATTTGAAGCTTTAATTTGAAAGAAAGTAACTTTTATCGTTCAGGCCAAAGCACTGTCATTTTTTTGGCCCACACTGAATCGGTACACTCGGAAGTTTTTTTCTATCCTGTGAACTTCGAACTTGAAGATGTTTTTTAATGATATGGTATTTTCTGACTCCACAAAAAATGACGGGATACAAAAAAATGTCAATGACTGTTATCTTTTTGTTGTGTAGCAGCAGCAACAGCAGCAGCTCCTTCTTCAGCAGCAGTCGCATCAGCAGCAGCAACATCAAAGCGGATATTTCCAGCAAAATCATCAGCAGATGCAGTTCAATTTGTAAATTATGTGAATGAGAAGCTGACAAATCAACATGATTTTACCGTCGTATTCATAGCTTTGAAAAGGAATCCCAAATTTCAGCATGAAGTGCTGATTATTCAAGGGCAAAAATAGGGCATGTTTGTCTTGAAAAAAACAAAACAAAAACAATTGCAGTATTGTGGGCCTATTGTGAAAGAAACGTGTAGTTATTTGGACACTCGAAGTCCGGTCCGTAATCTTGAGTTTTAGTTCGAAAGATACTTGTCAGTCCGGCAGCAGGAGACAGTGGAACGATGTGCCAGACAAACAAAGAAAAGGCATGGCTTTTTGGATCGATAATTTTTGTTGATATTCGTTCGGTATCGTGAGCGTGAGAAACTTCCGTTTTGTTATGGTTTTTGACAGGAAACCCCGTTTTATTGCATGCTGTAAAAAAAATTCTGAAATTGAATTGTCCGGTGGATCTTCAGTTTTCCATTTTACGGAAAATTTGACAAAGGAAGGAAAATCATGTAATCATGCTGCATCTTGCGCGCAAACTCTTAGCTTTATTGTAGGTGCTAGAAAACCTTTTGGAATTGCGAACTTTTTTGAAATTTGTGAGTGAAGGAAATGTAAGCAAGGTGCGATGGATTGTTGGCTTTCTCGAACGAGAGAATCGTCCGCTGCTTTCTCTCGTTCAACGGATTGAATTGTGTGTCGGCATTCTGTAACAACGGAAAGCATTGGATCTGTGGGCGCAAATGATTTTTTTATTGTATTTTCGGTACGTTTGACCTCATGCGTGCTTAATTACCTGTAAGAGCAATTGTGTAATGATATTTGACGAGCTTCTTGTTGGCTTCATTCTCACCCTTCCGCTTCTTTTTATTCCGAATTGAATGTCTCATTGTAAGTAAAGTCTGAAAGTTTACCATTTGATGACTGGCATTTTTATTTGTTTTTCATCTTTGAAGCAGATATTGAGGTATTTCAACAATAATCTGAATATATTGTCCGTATTTGTGTTTTCGACGGCATGGTTGAAGATTTTTCTTTAAGCTTTCATCAGAACTAGCCCAGTTTTTCCAAGAGCTTCGATGACTGATTTTAGTCATTGGAATTTTTGGCCTGCATCTTACAACCAAGGTTGGGCAAGAACCTTCGATTTTAAAAATGTGGAAAGAGAGAAGATGCTTGGCTTATTCAAGCAAAACGGGTGAAAGGGACTTATCTATCACTCGATGAAAGATAGAGTGCCGCAGTATAGTGGATATTGGTGGTACACTAGTGGCTGATTCTGTCCAGGTGAGAGAATTGCACAACTAATGCTATACAGTACAGTACAGTATTAGTGATAGAGCAGTACTACACAGGCAGCTGGGGAATCAAGAATTGTTTTGTATTTCTACATTAACAGCATTTTGAGCAGAAAATATTCCCGTGATTTAAAAGGGGTGAAGTCTTCTGTTCTACTTATGTCTTATAGAAAGCCTTTGAAATCCTGTAACCTTCTTCCTCCATATTCTATACCGACTTGGGGAGCCGATGTGTTGGCCAGTTTATTGTCGCTGCATCCGCGTAAGATAACTGTACGCGATACATGTGTTGGTGAGGACGAAGTCTAAGACGTTTTATTTACAGTCTAATAATTTCCCAATGTTCCATTCCATCCTGGCGGTTGAGAATGTACTGTACCACTACAGTAGACAATACGCCTCATGATTCCATAAAATTCGCCCACCTAGAATGTATGAAATCTGAGTGCGTGAGTCGCCGGGTGCCCGCGTGGGTGAGAGGTGATCTCATTCGGGATAGCTCCGAAGTGTGTCGTGATGTGCTGCCGATGGAATTTTCGCGTTCTTGTATGAAGTGTTCCGAAAGATATTTCTTTCGTGAGTAAGTGCTGTACATATGCTTCATTCATTATGCCGTGAAATTTTTTAGGTGACAGCTGCGACGAGTTATTAAAATTGGTGGAAGATGGATTCGTGTGTTGACGTGACGATGAATTCGGATGCGCCTGCCCAGAAAAGTGATGCTGGAAGTGAGAATGAAAACCTAGGACTTTTGAAGGCATCTGCAATTAATGCTGATGATGCCAATTCTGCACCGGAGGAGAAACCTCGTCTGAGCGCAGTTATCAGACCTGTGAGGAAATCTCTCTGGACACCGCAGGAGTCAATTCTCCCGATCTCGAAAACGTCCGCATTTACGAATTCGCCACGTCAATCAGCTCGTAAGAAGACAAAGAAAGTGTTCGACGACTCGGTCCCAGTGAAAATTAGTCAGAGTCGGGGATCAAATCCCACGTTGGTTCCCGTTCCTTCATCTCCACTTCACTGGGACGAGTCTCGCTTTAATGCGGACGTGACCATCGATGAAGTAGAATTGAATCCAACTGCGAAAATGAGCACTCCACTCCTGCATGGATCTGAAGTCACCGAAGAAAGCTTGGAGTACCAAATCGGCGATTTAGTATGGGCTTCTGTCAATTCATTTCCATATTGGCCGGCAATTGTTTGCCAGGAATATGCGACGAACACTCATTATCAAGGTGAGTGATCATTTGTACATATCCTGAATGTGTCGTTCAATGTTCTTTTGCTTCGTAGTCAAAGCGCAAGGAATGTATTCCAAACTACTGTTCCATGTGATGTTCTTAAATGACAAGAACAGACACAACTGGGTATCTGCCGGGAAAATCGAACCTTTTGTCGACGAGAAAACGTTCGAAGAGTGGAAAACTGCCAAGTTGAACGCAGCTGTAAGAACCACCTATCTAGTCATTTCTTGAGACCAATTCAATTGAAAAACCAAGTCTAAAAAATATATTATTTGCAGCCAAAAGGTAGGAGTAAACGATTTTGGATGAAGCTTTTCACCATATCTCCAACGATCCGGCGAGCGTATAAGGTAGCAGTTGAGATTGGTGAGCGATTGATGCCGAGACCGAGGTGAGGAACATGCATTTTTGTAGTTCGTCCGAACAAAATTAATTGCAATTTTCCGTTAATGCGGAAAATCTTCACTGTGAATATTTATACCTTCAGTTCATCTCCTAAAAATTTTAGGGCTCTAAGATGTCAAGAGCTGTTGGTGCCTAACAGTGTCGATGAGAAAACGTTCGACTCGTTCGTGGCTGAACCTGAACCGTTCCCAGAACCAGAAGTCAAACTGAAAGACGAATCTTCCCGTTCAAGCACCAAGGAACCGCGTTCACTATTCCCTAAGTTCGAGAAGCGAAAAGAAAAATTGTGCGCAAAATGTTTCAAGTTCATACCTGAGCCCGACGAGAATTTAGATATAAAAGTTGCAGAACAAGGCATAGAATGCTCTGGAGGGTGTGGGAAATCGTATCATCGTCTTTGCTACATGAATATAAATGCAACGAAAAATCAGCTTTCGGCTCAGTTCCGTCGATCCAAGAAAAAGAGTGACGTTAAATCCGAAGTTGATGCTAAACTTCTAACGATGAAGACTGCTACTTGTCCAGAATGCGAGTCAGATTTGAAACAATGCTTCATTTGTAAAGCACTTGACAAGGGTTTGCAGCAGTGTGTGCATAAGAACTGCCGGAAACATTACCATAATTCCTGCGTTGGACATTCCAAGTGGCACCAATCCGTCGTTCAAAATGGCAAGGTAATTCGATTTCTCCGAGAAATCCGCATAATATCGATGCTATTCAAGAATAACATGCATTTTTGACGCACTGTATCTTCATTCTTCAATGTCAGATATTGAATTTAAACTTTATGGCAGGTGTGATTCATTGATTACAAAATACGGGATAAAACTATTTTGTATCTAGAACTGCGAAAAAAAATTTAAAGTTTCATCAAATGCATTCTGAAATTTTTTACGATCTACAGTTGACGTGTCCATTGCATAAATGTCACACTTGTGCTTCCCTGGGAGAAAATGCCAAAGCATTGGACCGCCCTCATAAACTGATCCAGTGTGTCTTGTGTCCTACAGCATATCATTATGGTGAGATACATTTTTCTGTGCCTCGTCGATGTTCGTAATTGGACGTCCTTTTTGATTGCAACCAGATATTGAATGCAGTCCAGCAGGGACGTACTACATTGGTGGGAACTACATGATCTGTCCCAAAGTCCACGGAAAAAAACTGACTCATGCAAATTGCTCCGTTTGTCTGCTGTGTTCAAAAGGTAAACTCATATACGTGATGTTTTTCGGTGTCGGAAGTTTGTTCTAACTTTAGAAATGCTATTGCTTATCCGAGGTGTTTCTGGATTGTTTCTTTTATTTTGGCACAGAGCATATTGAGCCTTCGCTATCACCCTGTAATTTTAGTTACTGATTCGTCAATTTTCATTTTTTTTTTTTACACTTCTCATCTATTTTTCCTCTATTCTACAGGTGGAATGTTGATTTGCTGCGATGCATGTCCATCAGCTGTTCATGCAGCATGTTTGCCGTACGAATTCGACACAGAGGCGTCGTTTTTATGCGAGTTCTGCGAATTTGGAAAAATGCCGTTGTACAGAGACATCGTTTGGGCAAAAATTGCCCATTTCAGGTACTTAGGAAACCCGTGTTTTTGATTTGAAAAGTATGAATTATTTCAATCTGAAATTCTGAACGTAAAGATTTTGGCCCGCAATAATCGTGGACCCGGAGGAAATCCCGTTGAACGTCTTGAGATTGCCTTATGAGCCTGGACAATTTCCTGTCATGTTTTTTGGAACACATCAGTACTCGTGGGTTGATCGAACCCGGGTCTTCTGGTATGAAGAAGATGTAAGTGTCCAAATCAATTCCCTACGCGTGCTTTTCATTAATAATTTTCTTTATTTTAGGACTGGAAGTTCGCCTTGAATTCTGTCGGCAAAGGCAAGGGTCAGACCAAGGACCAGCAATTTAAAGATGCCATCAACGAGGCGAAACTCGCGTACGATTCTCGCCTGGAAGCCGATAAAATTCAACTAGAGGAAGCCGTGGCGAAGCCGAGAACCAAGCCTCCGCCTTACGTGAAAATCAAAGGGAACAAACCTTTTGGTCGAGTTAAAGCCGTTGACTTCAACGTGTCGAATTGTCAAACTTGCAACTGTGATCCGAGCAGTGAAGATCCTTGTGGGCCGACTTCAAATTGTTTGAATCGGCACGTTTTGTATGAGTGTCACGCGAGTTTGTGTCCCGCCGGGGAAAAGTGTAGGAATCAGTGTTTTCAACGAAGGGAGTACCCGCAATTGGCTCCGTTTCCGACGGGAGAGAAAGGCTGGGGATTGAAATCATTGGAGTTGATCAAGAAAGGTACGTTAATTTTTGGGTTCCTTTTTGTCCTCGTTTTCAGTTGGGATAAAATTTGGCCTTACAGGAAAGGTGATTTTCATTAGTTCAGTAAAATTTTTCTCTATTATTAGGAAAGAAACGCATTGAATCGCGATGTATTCTATGAAGTTTCAGCAAATCTTCAAGCAAACGTATCTCTGTTTTATTCGATTGAACGATGACCATATATTTTTATGATACATCGGGTAGGTTTTCAGATCAAGTCCAAGGTAAGTTAAACCCTTCAATTCCGAGAAATTAATCTGTAAAAATATTTTACTATTTATTGCCTTTTTCAGAAGCTTCTGAAATATTTTAGTCATATTTTTTACATTTTACTGACTTACTTCGTGATCTTTCAAATCACGAAGTATAATTTTCACAAGAGCCTTCTTGCCTCTGTCCACGTGACGTATTGATGACATGATGGAATTTTAAAGCGGAAATAAACTGCGTTATTCATATTCCATGAAGTAATGATTCGAAACGTGTTTGCAGGCTCATTTGTGATCGAGTACGTGGGTGAGCTGATCGACAATGCGGAATACGAGACGCGAATGGCGTGGAAGCACAAGACTATGGACAAACACTATTATTTCCTAACTCTGGATAGCAACAGAATCATCGATGCTGGTCCCAAGGGCAATTTGGCTCGCTTCATGAACCACTCTTGCGAACCCAACTGTGTGACTCAAAAGTGGTCTGTCGCAGGTGACGACCGCGTAGGCCTTTTTGCCCTTCGAGATATTCAACCCGGAGAAGAATTGACGTTTAATTACAACCTTGAAAGCGTTTGCAAGTCTCAGATGAAAGTTTGCGAATGCAAGGCCCCAGGTTGCGTGGGTCATATTGGAATGAAGGTGGCAGTGAAGCCTGACGAAGAAGAAATTGTTAATGAACCGCCTAAGGTTAGTGAAGTGATCTTTACTTTTCACAATTCCATTGTTTATGTTGTAAATAACTAGTTGAGCGAGAAAAATAATTCACTAATTACGACTTCCATTGCTTTCTTAGTTCGAGGTTCCAGTGGAGACGATGAATTTTTAGTATTGTACTGTAATGTATTTCATGAGGACATACGAGTTATGTCTCAAGAATTTATGTTTGCAGATGATTTTTATCTATATTTTGCGTTTGCGTATTTTGTTCATGAAAATTATTCGAGGTTAGTAGAAGTCACGGAATCAAGGATATTGTTTTACTTTTTACCGAAGCATCTGAAGAAGGTTCATGACTTTCCTCAGCATCTTGGTTTTTTTTTAAGCGTGAGCACTACCGCGCTTTTATGCGAGGATTATTTCGGTTTCTGGTCAACTTTTGATGAAATTGGTAGATTTTTATCTGCTAATGAACAAATTTTCGTGCATAAAGTAATTATTTTGAGCGATTTTTAATTTCCTGACGTATTCCCTGCCAGTGTAGTTGCACTTCTGCATGCTTTCTCTACAGGAAATATTCGCTTTTCCTTCACATATCAAGTTTTTAGACGCTCTGTGATGCACATACCATATATTGATTTTGTTGTTCTTGAAAATGTAAGATAATCTCGTTCGTCAATCAACAGAAAAAGAGGAGACTGACGAAGACTGGAAGTTTGAGGAAACCGCTTTCAGGCTGCTATTACTGCGGGAAAATTCTGGACGAACTAATTCCCTGCAAAACGTGTCCCAGAACGTATCACGAGGAATGCGTGAAGCGTAATGGTGGACAATTACCTCGAGACAACAACTGGCTCTGTCCATGGCACTTCTGCGCAGAGCCAGACTGCAAAACGGTTGTTTTCACCAATCGGGGCCCAAATGGCAGTCTCGCCGTATGCGATCATTGTCCGACTTCTTATTGCATCGCTCACAAAGATCCGAAGAAGATGACGTGGTTGGGCAGACTGGGATATGTTTGCCACAGACACTCGAAAGTGTCTATCGAGAAATTAGTAAATTTCTTGACTCCAGAATATGTTTTCGCTGACTGCATGAACGCGACTCCAATTGCCAAGAAGTCCAAGTGAATGCACTTGTCTCTCTTCAAAGCTTTGGAAAATTTTTTTTTACTCCATGACTCGTCGAATGTATATTGTTTGTATAATTACATGAGTTCATCTCCATTTCATATTTCTGGGTAGAATAAAGCTCCTCACAATGCTGCCGGAAGTTCTGGCTTTGCCGAGTTGGAACTTGGCAGAACAAAAATGTCCGCAAAAACTTTAGATTTAATGTGTTTCTTGAGATTTACACCGTAAATCGTTTCGGTGATTTTTTCGAGTTTCAGGAAAAGTTGTTTAGCACGACGCTTTTTTCTAGACTTTATCGTGGGCGTACACATTCACTGGTTCATCTTTGTTGTGTTCGAATTAGATTATGCATGTTGCTGAAATTTATTTGAACATATTATTTATTGGTTAACTTTTTTTCTGATTACTTGAGTGGAATTTTGCATTCGCGAACCTCGTACGACGCTGAATTTTTTATGAATTTTTTACGGCCTGATTCGAAGCAGAGGTTGAAAAAAATAGAATTTTTGGTCAACCGTCTGAAATTCTTTTGTTGAATTACATTTCGGAGTCCCAAAGGAATTTTTGTTCTGTTATATTTCTTTGCAGGGTTGACATTGCAAACAGTTGGTCGCAAGCGAGACACTAATACGTCTGTAAAATTCCTGCTCCAATGGGAATCTTCTCAGTTCCGGATTCTGGGAAGTTCCGAATTGGAGGACTGTTATTGAAGCATCATTTGAAGCTTGGATATCTCTTCTATTTTGTTGGATTAGGATGGATGATCTCCTTGTGCTACGCTCCGTTCAATGCGGGTAAGTTTCAATCTTGTAGTAAAATTTTTTTTTAACATCAGTTTCAGCCTATTATTGAATTGTGAATTCTTCGTCACGCGCTAGTTTCAAGCTGTTGAATATTATTGTTTTGGATCTTCTTTTCGGCAGGAACGTATTTTTCAGAAAACGCTTTACTTCCTGGGTTGGTGGATCCTACATTTCGAGAAGAACAATATGCTCGGCAGACGTTGGATCGTTTGAGAGATGCTTCGAAACATTGTAGCCAAGAATCAATGTTACTAAGTAATGGTTGTCATTCCTTTTCCGATGCATTGGCGAGTGAATTCAGATCTCTTGGAATTGATGTGCATTTTCAAGCATTTAATTACTCGTGTCCTCTAATGAATCAGGTGAGTTCATTCTACTTTTTTGAAGCAAAAAACGAATTTGTCCTTAATTTGAATTTTGTGTAAAACGTTGTCACTGTTATCCGCGTAGATGAAATCAGGATTGAATGTTTATGGAATTCTTCGTGCTCCCCGACATGCGAGCACGGAATCCATTGTTCTCTCCACATCCTACAATTCGAACCCTGTTACCGCTGCACCTGGAAACCTTCCGACGTTGGGCTTGATGATCGCACTTGCAAAGCGATTCAAAAGTACGATATTTTTATTCTCGTTTAAAAGTCCGACTATACTATTTAATGGTGCAATATAAAATCTGAGCAGACGAAAATATTCCTTTTATGTGCTCATCGTGGGAGGAATGCCAGAAATAAATAAGTGAACTATCGCCGATCTTTCCTTCTCCCTAATCAACAAATTCAATGGTGGTTGGTTCATTATTTTTTCAGAAGCCACATACTGGGCAAAAGATATAATTTTTCTGGCTGCTGATGGGGGTGAAATCGGAACACAAGCGTGGTTGGAAGGCTATCACGAAGTGTCTTGTGGAAAACCAGGATGCCTGATTGCCGAAAGTTTGAGTGGACATGCCGGCGCGATTCAAGTAAGGTTTTTATTGTCTGCGTGAAAGATTATCCCCGATAATTCAGTGATTTTCTAATATTCATCAAGGCTGCGATCAATCTCGAATTTCCCGCTCTCCCATTGAACTTCGTCGATGTGCGAGTGGAAGGTCTCAATGGCCAACTTCCCAATCTGGACTTGGTAACCATGGTTCACAAGTTGTGCTCTAAGGAGGGCATTAAACACACGCACCGGAAAACAGTAAGTTTTACATTCCGTACTTGCGCTGGTGTTCGTGTTTTTTTTTTTCAACGAATTTTCGCCCCGTATCATATTTTGTGTCCCTCGGAAATAAGTTGTGCAGTTGGAAGTCTGAGAGGTAAACGTGCAATGCTAAAGTTGTAATTCATGTGGTGAAACTATCCTACTTTGTGTACGAATCATGACGATTTTTCAGCGTGGGTAAATGTCACTGTAATCCCGATTCATTCACAGTAATTTTACGAGTCATCCTATGTTTTCCCTTCTGATTTCCTCCTGTGTGTACAAGTTTTTATTTGGTTTTATGATAAATTTGGAAAAAAGGAGGACCTATTTTGATTTTTCCGTGTCTCACACGTTTTTAGGCACCCCATGTGACGAATTCTGTATTTATATTCCCAGGTTGGTCCTCACAACAGTGCGTCATATGCTGGCTTCATAACCTCTTTCAAAACCTTATCTGCGATGATGACTAAAGGTCTTGGCCTCGGTCTTCCTTCTGGAAATCACGGCCTTTTCCTTCGATTTGCTATCCCAGCAGTAACTCTCCGTGGTCATACAAGTCGGAAGTCGAACTCAATCGCGAGTTACACGGAACTTGGACGAGCCATTGAAGGAATGACGCGGTGTCTGAACAATCTTTTGGAACGTTTCCACCAAAGTTTCTTTTTTTACCTGCTTCCGGCAGCGCATCGTTATATTTCGATAGGCTTATATTTCGGGCCATTCGCTTTAATGGCGTTGCCATTGATAATTCGAGCATTAGCGATTTGGTTGGCATTGCCTGCAACAGTTTACTATGAGGAAATTGGCGAAGAGGAGCGGAAGGAGGAATCACAAGAAACTGAGACTGGCAATAATGGAGATTCTGGTGCAGGTGATGCACCTGTTGTAGCGCATAATGAGCCTCCTGCTTTTGAGCTAATCGAGGAGAGTGAGGTGAATTTTCAACTTTCTCAATGTTTAAACAGAGTGTCAGTAAATTTTGATGCAATTTTTTTTTCCAGGGTGGTTCGAAGGTTGATTACTCGGTACTTGGATGCGTGAAAACTGCTTTGGCTTGTCACGCGTTTGGCTTAGGATTAGCGTTGAGTCCTGAGATCCTTGTGGACCTCGGAAAACACGTTGGATATTCTCCCGCCGAAGCTGTGCTGTGGGGTTTCATCTCATTGTGTGTTCTCATGATCTCATCACCAATGATGTTCAGTGGGTAAGGCTGTAAATTTTTCTTTTTCCAAAATTCGTGGGGACGAAGAATGTTTGAGGTGTTTTTTATATCTTTCTAGGCATTCCAGTGGCGCCAAAAGCAGCCGCTACATGATGGTTTTCATAGGCATTTTGGAAGTTGCTTTGGTTCTGTTCACACTTGCGCTTTACAATATTGCGACGTCGTTCATCCTTGGGGTATTCATTGTCCCCATCGCAATATGCGTGGCTCCTCGAAAACAATGGTAATCACGTTTTTGTTCTTCCTTTTCAATGATTTCTTCTTCTGTGTTTGGGAAATCGTGTGAGTGTAGGAGAAGATTCACGCCTACTACAAATTGATAGGGGTAATTTTTCCTGATGCAGCAAACAATACTTCTACTGATCATTCTTTTTTCTTTCAAGCACTCAATACTTGTTGCTGCCAGGATTTTGCTGAACTTTGTTTCACGCTGTATGACCTTCATTTGACATGAAATTCATGATTGCATAGAGTTAACTCAACAATATTTGTGACTAATTTGCGCGTTCATCATCCAGTACTGTATCTGAAAGAACGCTGTGGAGCGCATGCTTTTATTTGTGCGAGCAAAACTGTGCGTAGAATAAAACTAATTCTTATAGTGTGACACTAAAACTCGAATATTTTTGGCTGAATAAGTTCGAGAAGCCGTTCTGAGTGCAGTTTTTGGATTCTCACTGTTTTAGATGGGTTAAGGTTTGAAGGAGGAAGTCTGCTTGATTTTCCTTTCCATTTTCCAGGAAATGGTTGTCGAGGTTGACTGTGCTGCTGTTGAATCCGTTAACGTTGCTAATGATGATGTCTGCATTGGACCTGACATTCAGCTCCTCATCGAAAACGTTTTCCTCGGTTCCCTTTTATTCGGCAATATTCAAGAACCTTGAAGCTTCTTTCGAGAATGTGCTGAAAAGCATGTATTTTTACGGCCATTGGTTATTCTACGTGGTATCAGTCACCTTAGTACCAAGTTGGCTTCTGTTTTGGCAGGCCCAGTTTTGTTGAAGCATAAGGCTTTCCATCGGCAACAGTCTCGGACTTATTGAACGAAATTTTTTGTATCTGTGATCGAATATATTCACTGTGCGATTTCTTTCAACATTTACTTTAATTTTCGCTGTGTCGCTTCGACTTCTGTAATTTGTATTTTTGTTTTCTTTCAATTCCAGACGAGCGTATTTTACATATCACGACTTCTTTACCATGGGAGTAAGTTATCTCTTTAATCTTGTTATTTCGCGCGCGCGCATTCAAGCATCTGAAAAACTCCGAATCAAGGTCAACGGAAATCAGTCCTGAAGAATTTTTGCGTGTTTCAGAGGGAGTCGGAAAAAGCGAAGAATCGCAAGTCCAAGAAGAAGGAGGAAAAGCTAAAAAACCTTGAATATCAGACAACTGTGGCAGCGGCGAAGAAACTGGAGGACCCGTTGGAGAAATTTGCGGCTTTTAAAACTTTTGCGTCCAAAGAAGTTGCCGCAAATATAAATTGCGTTTGGTATGAGCATTTAGATAACGACACGAGGGATTGGGTATTTGATCTCACTAGGCGAAACATGATGGATCTGTGAGTTTCTGTGATTTATTTATTTTTATTGTGACGCCTGAAAATTAGGGAACATGTGGTATTTTTCCAGTTACAACGACAGTCATTGGGGATGGAATCAGAAAGAAAAGGAACAGGATATGTTTCATCCGGATGCAAGATACATAATTGCACGCGATGCAAATCAAAAACCTATTGGATTCGTCAATTTCCGTTTTGACATGGATTACGGTCTTCCCGTATTTTATCTGTAAGTCCACGAAACATTTCCGTCATCATGAATATATTACAGTGTCCCCAAAGAAATAAAATTTGTGTTTTTGTATGTTTTTGGATTTTTTTTCGTGGTTTATTTTATTTTAGTGGCTCATTCATAAAAATTCACCAATTTAAATTTTACAGGTATGAAATTCAGTTGGAATGTGGGTATCATCGATTTGGACTCGGGAGAAGGTTGATGGCCATTTCGGAACTTGTGGCTTTTTCCGCCAAAATGATGAAAGTGGTGTTGACGGTGTTGGATAAGAATGAGGCAGCCTGCAAGTTCTTTAATGCCCTAGGTTACACGTTAGATGAATCGTCCCCCACTGGATTCGACGATGTTGGTTACGGGCTTGGCGTTTTCGATTACAAGATTTTGAGTAAAATCAACAAACGACTTCCTGTTGAAACGGCGGAAGAGGGGAAATGATAATTTTGCGACCTCCAATTTTGTACGAATTTTTTTGAAAATACAGATTCATGTCGAGACCGTTGCTTCATTTATCATTGCAATTTTTTCGAGGTAATCATTCATTTATTTTTATTCTTTTTTTGGTTTTCAGACATGTGTGCCGGATACGACGAAAATTATAAGTACGGAGAATGGGGCTTTATATCATAAACTATAATTGTTCTACAATATTTTTCAATTTTCGCGTGTGCAGTTTTTTATTTTGAAATGAATTTGTGATTTTGGACCAAAGATCGACTCAGATTGCGGAACTATTGAAATCAGCGCAAGATTGAGGAAAGTAGCGAACTACGCCTCGGGTCGTGTTTGTGAATTGATGATCAAATGCTGCCTTGTTGACGTTTTCAGATCTCGAATGAATGAAGCTCTTTTGATTTTTTGAAATACAGTATTGTTACGAAATCTGTGTGAAAGATCGCGATTGCTTCATGAACCCTACGTCGTCGTCTTCCTCGAGTTTTCATCATGTCATTTCCTCAAGCTGGTCTTTTGGAAAAGATAAAAGAAAAAGCTCTCCGGATGATAGAGGAAGAAAATTACGTTGAAGCGATTCCTCTTTGTTTAGCTGTGTCTGCAATGGAACCTCGTGGGATGGATTCCATGAAGGATGTGTTGATGAATGCACTGGGTTAGTTCAGTTTAATTAAGAGGTGTGGAGCTAAATTTCGCATGCGTTATTTCCCCTCCCTGTGTAAAAGTTTATTGTAAAATCCCGATTTTCGGAGATTTGGTTAACTTAATCCCAGATTCGGTTCATTGATGTGTTTTTTCTAATAATTTATGTTTTGTACTCTTTTCACCTTTTTATGTAGAACGTTGGACAGCGCAAGTTACTGCTCAGCATCCAAAGAATGTGATGAAAATTGTAACTAAGCCTTACGAACAAGCGATCGAAGTAATAGAGGCGAACGAGGATTTGAAAACCAATTACGCTGTAACGATGCTTCGACATGATATGTTCTCCGAAGCTTGGGCCCTGCTTTTGGAAGTCCTCCAGGTTTGCATGGCATTGCTATTTTCTGAAGCTTTCATTTTGAGGCCGGATTTCCAAACGCTCAACGTTCAAAACTTGTTTCTCAGTACAGTATTGTATTAGATGATGAATTTTGTTTATTTTTGTTGTTGAAATTATAGCTTCATCCCCAGCATGAACAAGCGTTGGATACTTGGCGTTCATTGTGTTGTCGGGTGATTCCCAGGTGGCATTTCTTCATGGTGAACGATTCACTGAGGAATAATGCGTACGAATCTGCGTTGAAAGAGCTGATCTCCGCTTATGCTAACGAACCGGTTTCCTTGCTCGACATCGGGTCTGGTTCTGGCATTCTAAGGTAGGTGACTTGTTCCTTTTGCAAAATTTTCCGGTGAATTCCGAAATTGAAAAAAATCCGTCTATTTTTTTATCTGATTTAATTTACCTATCGGTGCACAACATTCAACTTGACAATTCCCTTTTTCTCTTGAAGAAATTAATTTTTTTCTATTTTCAGCATGATGGCTGTGGAAGCTGGGGCCAAAAAAGTGTTCTCATGTGAAATGTCGGAATTTCTTGTTTCCCTGTCAACTCTTGGCTTGCAGAGGTTTTTCAAATCCGGGCTTCACCAAGAAGACTCCATCACGCTACTGAAGAATTACTCGACGGAACTAAGAGTCGGAGTTGACATTCCATCAAGGTTTGTTTTGTTTATTTTTTTGCTCTTGAGAAACTAGGAATTATAAATGGATTTCGTTTTCTTTCAGGGTGAATGTGTGCGTGACGGAAACTTTCGATGCTGGGCTTTTTGGCGAAAGAGCTGTTTCAAGCGTGCTAGGAGCCTGGAAAGACTTGCTGCAGGAACGTGATGAAGCCTATTTGATGGATAGTGATGGAAATGAGAACGCTTTGTTCGGTACATTTTTGCAGCATGCCCAATTTTTATCTTTTTTTTTTACAGTATTCCCATTCTGTATATGCTTTTTTGAATTGATACTGCCATTACTTTGATGTGCATTGTGTTGAGTTTTTTATTTATTTCTACAGGTTCTTGCTCTTGTTCCGGGGATTCAGAAAGCAACAACCCGTCGTTGGGTGTAGTGCCAAAAAAGTTGAATCCATCCCGTGGAACCATCATACCATGCAAAGCTTGCTTGTTTGCTGCTGTTGTGGAATCTGATGATATTGCATCTATGGTAAAAAAAAAAAAAAAAAAAAACGAGAAGTGTTTTGAAAGTCACTCAATTCTTTTTTTTTTTAAATTATCAATCGACCATTCCTTTAGTTGAAATGTGGGCGGCAGCTAAGATCAAAATTGATATCGGAAGCTGATGCGTTTTGGGCGGATGATGATGGAATGTACGATTCAGAAAGGATTTCCTGGCTTCCGAAGGGGTTCAAATTTCTATCGAAGCCCGTACGATTGGTTTCCGTCAACTTTATGGATCCTGATCATTTACTGAGGTAACCGGTTTTTACGCTTTTTCTTTCCGTTTGTTCGAACCACTTCATTATTTGTGCCATTCCTTAAACGGTACGTCATTTTTTAAGAAAGAAGCCCTTCCTGCGAAATTGCGAAATTTGCGTGCATAACGTGAAATATGGAACAATTTGGGTCATTGAAATTTATTTTCAAGAGTGCAGGCAATTTCTAACGAATCAAATAATTTGATCTGTTCATAAAATCATCTCCTCAAAATTATCTTCATTTAGTTGTATTTGCCCATGTTTTTTTCTTCGAATTTTTTAGAATCTAAGATATACCAGAACATTTTAGTCCAAGTTCAAATCTGAAAGAAAAGGAGGGATACATTCTGAGGAGCTGAATTTGAGTTCAAAGAAAACTTGAAAGTCAGGATTTCGGTTCAGTGTTCTTAAAACAATTCCGACATGTTGAAACTACACGAAAATTCTTCCTGTATTTGCGAGAAAAAATGTGGAAGGATCGTAAACCATCTTTTTTTTTTTATACGAAAGGTCGTTCTGTTTTATTCTTGCGTTATCATTCAGTCATGAATTTTTTTCTTCGTAGAGGTTCGCAGATATTTTTGAATACGGTATAATTTTCTTGGAGAGTCTTATCCTTAAGACGTAAATACTGTATTTTGAATTATTCGTTTTAGATGGTCGAAGCTGGATGGAGAGTATGACGTTGAATTCGATATAATCAGTGACGGACGACCGGACTGCATTGTGACTTGGTTCACTCTCCACCTGACCCCAACAATCAGAATTTCTTCGCATCCATCGGCGAGAACTTGTTGGGAACAAGCCATTCATCCTATCATCGGCTGCACGGACGATCCATTGCTGAAAGCTTCTGTGTTTTCAGTGACAGCTTCTAAAACCCCCGAAATCGAAGATGTTGGGTTGAGCTTCACGTACGATTCCGTCGCGCGAAAACCAGCAAAGATGCTCAAGCTGTCCTCAGATTACATGCGTTTAATGAACGATGAGAGATTTTTTCCACTGAAAGTTCATTCTAATGTATTACAAATTGGCGGGCATCCTGATATTGTTGCTGCGAGATTTCCGGGTTCGGTGGTCGAGGTTGTTGCACCAATCATAAATTTCGGTCCAATTTTCTCCAAAGTTATTTCAGAAGACAATATAAAGTGTGTTCAAGACTCGGTGATTATCTTTCCTGTGGATAATCTAGGGTGTCTGAATCCTGAAGTTTTTCGAATTTTGCGAAAATTTCATTTGTCCCGAAATTGGATTCACGTTTTTCCAGACTCACTTTGTTTAAAAATGAAATTGGTTAAATCTGATATTTTATCCAAACTTTGGCAAGTAAAAACGGAAAATGAAAGTTTAATTATGCATTGTGTTTTTGAGTCGCTGAGACGTGTTTCGGTTCCATATCACCTGCAAATTTTACCCGGATCTATCCCAGACGTTAAATCGTGCTCGTCTGAAAATACATTACTGAATTTTGATTTCAGTGGCAATCAGATGCTACCAGATTTTCCCTACTCTGGCGAAGAAAAGTTTTCAGTGCTTAATTGTGTGCCGAATGCCTGTTTAATTAGGTATTGTTGGCCAAATTCCGATGCAAGTTGGCACGAAGTAGCTTTCCGAATAGACTGCCATGAAAAGCATTCTGATTATTTGAAAATTCGTTACGTTCTCAAGAGTGATGGGTCGTTTTCGTGCCACGTATCTGGGGAATAAATTATCTGGAATTCTTCATTTATTTATCTGATGTGTTTGAAAATAATTCGGCGCTCAAAGGAAACTTTCCAGAAATATGCGCTGTTGGTTGTTATTTTTTCTTACCCATTTCTCGACAGGTGCAGTAGATGAGGTTTCACATTCTCAGAAAGTTCTCGGCGAATGTTGCGATGGCAAAAAGCAAGTTCGAGTATGTGCGTGCTTTCGAGTCCCAAGAATTGTGTTTGCCAAACTGCTTTGTCGTTGTTCGCGTCGACGGGAAGAACTTCCACAAATTCTCCGACGTACACAAATACGCTAAACCCAACGATGCCCGAGCTTTGCGGCTTATGAACAAAGCCGCTCTCCGGGTTCTCGTGGAATTCTCCCCGGAAATAGTCCTGGCCTACGGGCAAAGTGATGAATACAGCTTCGTGTTCAAACGGTCGACGGAAATCTATTGTCGGCGGAGAGACAAGCTGGTGACGAATGTCGTGTCGCATTTTGCGTCGTCTTTCGGGTTTCACTGGAAAGAGGCTTTCGGGGAAGATGAGTTGAAATACCCGCCGACGTTTGACGGTCGAGCCGTGCTTTATCCCACGTTGACGAATTTGAGGGACTATTTGAGCTGGAGACAGGCGGATTGTCACATAAATAATTTGTACAACACCGCTTTTTGGAGTCTGGTCTTGAAGAAGGGATTATCGCCGTCGGAGGTAACTTTTCCTTTGTCAATTACAGAACTTTTCAGAATTTCTGCTGGGAGTCAAGAGGAAATGCCGGCGAGAGAAATAGTACAGAAATCATCTTCAGCAATATTAAAACTTCATGTTATGTCTTGAAATAACCCCGAATACATTCAAGAGGTTACTGTACTTGAATTTATTTTAAAATTTGCATTTTTCTTGCGAGTAAACCCTTTAAAAGCTATAAAGCCCCACAAATTCAACAGATCTATGGAATCGAAGCGTGAGATTTCAGGAAAACCCGTACATAAAAATGGTAACGATGAATAAATAAAAATGGTGGATTATATATTTGTATGATGATATTATTTCAATATGCTATTTTTTCAAATAAAAAAATTTATTTCATGACTGCTTCTTACTGATCTTGTTTTATGTTGGAATTTTTCCTCTTGGCGCCTTCCGTGTCGGTGTTTTCTGCACGTCATTTTCTCTATGCCGGCGTTTTATTATTCTGGCCAACTACTAGCTTTATGATGCATTTTTTAATTGACTGCGAGTTTTTCAATTACAGTACCTCACAAAATTTGAGAAAATTATGAATTATGTTTTTGTAATGTGTCGAAAACTCGAGGAAGCAAATATTTTCAAAATATTATTGGGTTGAAATCGGCAGGCGGAAGAACGACTTCGGGGAACGGTGTCTTCGGATAAAAACGAACTCTTGTTTTCGGAGTTCGGAATCAACTACAACAATGAACCCGAATTGTTCAAGAAGGGAACCGTTATTGTGAGGTCAATGAACGTTAATGTTCCTGTGCCCTTGACGGATGAATCTGCTGAGGAATCCGCATTTTTTCTGAGTAAAATGCCGAAACTTGCCTCTAATTTTCAAATCAGAAATTGCGACTTAATCGGGAATCCATTTTGGCAAGCTGTTGAGTCATTAGTGGATGTATGAAGTAAATTATGAACATTCTTTTTGTGTATTTCCGCATTCTTGTCATTTTTTCACCTCACGAGCCGAATTTTTAGCTCACAGGACGTCCAGTAATTTCAAAATGTTTCTTTTTGTTAAGAAACTGACGTTCACTATGATTCTCGACTATATTTTCTGAAATTCGAAAAAAAATTTAAAAAAGGGTGAAATTGATTTAGAAACTTATTTGTTTCGGTGGAACGATTTATTTCTCGGCTAAATTTGAATCTGTTTGTTGCTTGGTTTACCCGAATTTTGACGCTTAATGCAAAAACTGTTGACTCCTAAACCTGTTATGACCGAGGATACCCCTTGAAAAAAACATGTGGTTCAAACTCTGAGTCGGAACTGATATTTTTGTAAATAAACAGCAGAATCGACGTTAAAAAGAGAGTTCTCTCAGTTTCCGTTCATTCAACGAGTTCCTTCCCTTCTCTGTGTACCTCGTTGAGCACGAGCAGGAGAATTTCCAAAAGAGAAAAAAAGGGGAAAAATGAAACTTGAAGTAGTGTCGATTCTTCTTGCTTGTCTGATGCTCATTAGTTTCGCATCGCATGCGAATACAATGAGACAGCCGGCTTACGACCCGTATGTTAATCCGCCGAACGAAGAAGACCAAGTTTTGGAAGAGCACCAGTCGCCTGAGGTCCGACAAAGTGAACCCATGCAGGATCCGAATGAAGAATTTTTACCAACGTATAGAGGCGAAGAAGAAAGTCATCCAAATCGTGAACCTGTTGAAGTCTTCGCGAGGAAGACGAAGAAGACCCACGAGCGCTCGGGCCCCGCAATTTACATCGTCAATAATTACCACTGAAGCTGAACCAGAATCCGGGATTACTACAAATTTGTTTTTCTTTCTTCAATCCACCGCGTAAAAAGAAAAGGTCTTCAGATCTAGCTGAACAAACACAGGACAGAATTCTTTTGTTGAAACTTGAAATGCAACAAAGTTTTATCCGTCTAGATGCTTTGAAATTTCCTACTGTGTTCCATTAACTCCGAATAACCTGTGATTGATTTGTTTTTCGTCTTGACCAATTATTGTTATAAAAATTTATTCGACCTTCACGATTGTTCAGTCTGGTGTTCTTTTACGCATTTCAGGATGGAAAAAGATGGAGGTAAGTTTTTACGAAGCAATATTTGATCATTTCATCGCCAATTGATTCATTTTTTCCGTGATTAAAATGGATGATGGAAATTGATCGGGTGTAGGACAATTCCCCCGATGCTAATTCCCCCGCCTCTATTTCCCCCGAATAATAATCCCCGATTTTAAAATCCCCGGTCACAAAAATCCCCAAAATTAAAATGCCCGATTTTTAAAATCCTCGAGTGTTATTTTCCCCGATTTTAATTTCCCTGCTTTTTGTTGAAATCCCCCATAATAATTATCCCCGATGTACAATTTTCCCCCGAAAATAAAAAACTGATGGTTGGACAATTGTTTTTCTTATTTCTGAGTGACGAAAATTGAATTTAACAAGTATAATTGAATAACAATTAAAATAACGTAAAAATGAAAAAAACGTAAAATTTGAAAAAAATTAACAAAAAAGTAAAAATTGAAAAAACAAAAAATGTAAAAAAAGCCACATCAGCAATAAAAAAATTATTAATTGTATCTCAGTTTCACTGCTTTAGCGGTTTTCTTCAAAAAATTTTCCAGACTAATTTTGTGCCTGTTGAACAATTGACACAGATTCTTCAGGTTGGCATCCCTCTTCTTCTGCTCACCTCAGGGTAGAAAAAGGGATTTGAGGATGAAGTTGGGGAAAAATCCAAATTTTTTTTCTTTTTGCACAGAGAAATTTTGTGGGAAAATGAAAGAAATCCTATGCTAAGCAATGGGCTTTTTCTTGGATTAATCCCAACTTTGCCTCAGCCCACCTGGAAGGTCTTTTCTGACCTTCAGAAAACTTGAAACACCACAGCATACAAAAATAATCCGATTTCGGCTGAATTTTTTTCATTTTTGGTGATATTTTGTACATTTGGGGATTTTGCATTTTCGGGGATTTTAGTAAATGGGGATTTTTATTTCCGGGCAATTAGACACCGGCAGGAATAAATGTCGGGGATTTTAAAAATCGGGGATTTTAGAGTGGGGGGAATAGAGGTGGGGGAATTAGAATCGGGGGAATTGTCCGTTTCCCCAAATGCCCATATTGCGTTGAAATATACTGATTAGAATCAGTTTAAATCGGGAGACAATTTTTATTTTCATGGAATTATGGTGATTATTTCGTACATAAAACACCAATTAAAAATTGTATAATGTAAGTCTAAGGGAAAATGAGACTCAACTTATGGACATTTTGACTTTGGGACGCTCTTGATTCACCAATTATGTCCGCATCTGGGGGTCTCACTGTATTTCCAACCCTAAAATTGATACAAGAAAAGTTCTTGCTGGGCATTTATCTCACCAATTCACCATCCCTTCAGCTAATTAAAACAAAAATTACCTCCAGCATAGAGGGACTTCCTTCTCCCGTTTTCACATGGGAGAGTTAGAGTTTGTAAGAATAATTACATTTTCATAACATCATGCCTATACATGAAGAAGCTGCTGGGACAGAAAAAAAAATCATAACTAAAAATAATTTGTAACAAGCTTTTTGTTGTAACGGAATTCTGTACTGCTTATATATATACAGGCCCCACCTTTGTCAGTGGCGTTCCTGCCCTCCCAGTAGCCGTCCAGCGCCGACAAAATGCCCGCCGACAGCCCGTTCCCCCACAGCCAAAACGTGCCGACGCACAAGTGGAACACAATGGCCACCTTCACTTGCACCCGCTCCGGACACCGCCGCTCCAAACACGTCAATTTCCCCGCCAGCCCGAGCAGCGCCTGCGTCGCCGCATTCAACGCCAGTCCCCACACGAGTCCCTGCACCGCCGCCACTACCAACACCACTGCACTGCACGTGGCGGCGCTTCGCGGCGCCCGCGCGGCAGCTCCCAGCGCCACCACGCCGCCAGCCAGCACCAGCCCCCACTTGGGGCGCATCTTTTCGCACACCGGCGCCCCGAACAACGAACTCAACGTGGCCATGCCGAACAACAAAGCCGGTGCGTACGCAGCCACAGAGTTCTCGTCGTACAGTGCGGAGTTCAAGCTGGGCAATAAAAACGTGCCCGAGGAGATGAGCGTGCTGGCAACACTGAGCAACGCCAAGTTTTTGATCAAGTTCTCCCGGGAGTAAATCGGACCGAATTGGGCGCCGAACAACAGCGTGTCTTCGTCTTCGTCGTCGTTGCTGCTGTTGTTGTTGCCGATAAAAGTATTACTATTATTATTATTGTTGTTGCTGTTGCCGGTGGTTGTTGATGTTGTTGGACGGCGGCAGGAAGAGGACGGGCCAGAGGCGCCGAAACGAGCCAGAGAGTCGTAGGTGATGCGAGGCTTTTGCTGCTGGGTGCCGCCATTATTATTGTGGGGACCAATGCCACCTGCACAGGCGCCACTGTGGTGCTTGGTGGCGGAACAAACGCCGTTCTTTGAGCAATAATTCAGGGTCGAAGGTCGGGTTGTCGTGGGATGAGGTTGCAGTTGCCGTCGGGTATTTCCGGGTTCCGCCGAGTCCAAGAGCTTAAAAGGACATTCGTGAAAGAAAACTGACCAATTCACGAATTATCTACAACACGTGGTTTTGCAAATAAATAGCACATTGTTTTGCATTTTGGTATAATCTGAAATCTTTACGACAATAAGAAAGCTAGTGTCTGAGTAAGATTTTTCGTGAAATTTATCTGTGGCGTCAATAACTCAAATGAAAGTTGCGATACTTGTTACTTTTTTATTTTTAGCATTTTTACTTGGTATACCTGCATTGTACTTGTTTCAACAGTTTTCCGAAGTTCACAAATTGCAGGAGGATCTCGTTATAAAGGATTTTTATTTGCAACAATTCATTTGTATTTTAGGTCCCTGTCCAATAACTGCAACGTTATTTGAGTTCCTTCATGACGAAACTATTTTACTGGTTCCAAAGACGTCGATTATTTCGTTGTAATGAGATTTTATTGCGTTCTTCCGGACGATTTTTGAACTTCCTTCCAAATTTTTACTTGATTGAAGATGTGAAATTTTTTTTGGAAGCACGTCTGTTATTATCGGTGGCTGTAACTCAAACGAAGAATGCATCAAGTCTTGTCAAATGTTGTTCCATCTTATTCAATCAAAATACTGTGCACTAAAATTTCCAATTATTGAAGTCTAACGGGGTCTTCTTCATAATCTCTTCAGTTATGCCGAAATGAAGCGACTTAATTTCCTTTGAGTATCAATTTACCAATTGATGAAAAGTTCACCAACCAAAAAATTAAATAAATCTCGCGTACCGTCTGAAAAGCTCGCGTGTTACTCATTGAAAAGCCTGGTGATTTCAAAATTTTACTTAAAAAAAAAACAAAAGGAAAGAATGGAGGAAAACATGAGTATACTTTGAATACAAGGGCTAGAAAACATCCAATAATGATTTAATGAAAAAATAAATAAAAACCCGAAACGCAGCGGATTAATGAAGACTGCTGGGGACTACAATAGACAAGTCCCGACCGCGAACACTCTGAGAATCGCTGGTCTGAAGATTTCCTTACATTCTATTAATTCCATCGCAAGTACTGAGACATCAAACAGTTACTCTACATTTAAATGATGAAAGATACCCTTCCACGGAGAATAGATGTCCATGACCTAGAAATTTAATCAATTTATCTCGGCTTCCGACAGGATGTCAGCAGGAAAAGTTCTGCGCAAAAACGTGAACACGAGGGCAGATTGGGTCGATTTTGGTACTTCCTTATAAAGATTCTTTAAAACGAATTAAAATACTTCCGAGCTGTGTATTGAGAGCGTATTTTCAGTCGCAATTTTCTAAATGTTATTTCGGAATAGGAAATTAGAGAGAGAGAGAAATAGCAGAAGTCGAGAAAATAAAAAAAAGTATGCCCCCTTTTTTTTTATTCTTCAATTGATACGAGTTGATCACTGCAATTTTCAATCTTCAATGAGTCGTTCTTTGAATTTCTTGAAGCGCAACAGTAAAAAAGAAGGA